ATATATATATATATATATATATATATATCTAAAACTGCAAACTCCGTAAAGGGCAACATAAAAAAATTCAAAATTTTAGCTTTACCTATAGGAATTTAGTACATGATCAATGTCATAAAGCATGATCAAGTACATTTAGTGTGGTTTTAACACAACTTCCCCATGTAATATGAAATTGATTCAACCCTAAAATAATATTTGAATTAAAAAAGCAATTGATAAGACGCGAAACATTATTTGACTCAAAACAATTATTTAATTACAAAATGGTGACAATCACCAATTACTTCATCCTAAAAACAGTGGCATCAAACTCGTTTTTCAATTTCAAATAACATTAGTGCTGCATTACATTAACTGCATTACTAAGCACTACATTAACTATATGTTGCATTTCATACAGTGATATTTTTTCAATTTATGAGTTGGAAAAAAAATTTCTTAGTATTTTTATTAGTTGCCATTGGGTTACCCTAGTGGTGAGTTTTGCGTATATGTGTTTTATCGATTTTTGTAATTTTATGTGTATAGTTTGTCCGCGTTTTGCAATGTGTGTCACTTTGTATTATGTACTTTTATTTTATCACTGATTTTGTGTGTGTATGTTTTCATATATACACTCTATGGGTTTTACTACGTGGTGTATTGTTGAATAATGTCTATTTTTTATTTTTTATTTTTGATGTGTTATGGAATGTATTTTTTATGTGACTAATAGATCCAATTTCAAATTTCGTGAACGTAACATTATTTTATCTTTTTAACTTGATGCAAAAAAAGTGTATCTGCAAATGGTACTTTTGGATTAAGAAGGAAACATTACATAAAGCTATTTTCAACATGTTTAAACCTCTTTTGCTGATGACACTGCTTCAATGAACACTAGTTCTCCTCTTCAATTTGCACCACAGTCCACTCTTTGTGTGCATGGTTGCCCCAGTTACAAGTTCCACAGATTCAGGAGATCCTTTCAGCTCGACATCAAACTTCTGTAACAGCATTGCTAATGCCACAGTCGACTCCATGAGCGCAAATTGGTCTCCGACACATTTTCGTGGTCCTCCGCCGAAAGGCAAGAAGGCAAAATCCGATACAATCTAATTGTAGCGTCCATAAATACATCAATAGGAAGTAAAAAAACACTAACAAGAATGTATATTTCAAAGAGGTAGCAATAGAAGTGACCTCATTTGGATACAAGGCTCCAGGGCTTCGTAATGGATCAAAACCAGCCCAGCCTTCAATGCTTTCGCTCTTTCTTTGAGCTAGAAACCTCTCGGGTTCAAATTCATCGGGTTTGTCCCAAAAATATGGAGATCTATGGAGATTATATACCTGATTGGATGGTTGTTCAAGTGAAAATTATATCCAGAACAAAGGGCAGAAAAGGCGGAAATAAATTTTTATATCACCCATTAAATTTCTCTTGCAAATTCAACCATAATCAGTTTATTTTACATGGTAATACATTCAAGAAAACACCTTCCATATTAGAGTCCAAACAAATCAAAAGAACTGCCAATGGTGTACGACAAAAGAGTCGAGCACTCACAGAAAGAAAGATGTCAGTCCCAGCGGGGATTGCGTATCCATCTTTGTTACCTTTATAACCTCCTGCACAATTGAGATAAAAAAGTTCAAGAATTCCCTCAATATCAGGAGGAATCCTAATGGCATAACAAACATAGGAATTAGTCCAAACACAATATCTAGGCATATATTCAATCCAAGAATTTCAGAGGCCTAGAAACAATATCAATCCAACAATATTCTTGGGACTGGGTGTCCATTATGTGCTGGCGTCAGCATAGCGTCATTGTACAGACTCTAACATCAGTATACCCCCTTCTGTTTCTAACTGAATATTCTAATGGCTTCTGGCTCCGATTGGATTCATTGATATTGAGTTGGAGTATATATTTAGTAGGAATTAGGTTAGAGAGAGAGAGAGAGAGAATGCAACATGAGTTACGGTTTCAGGACAGATCATCAAATTTCTCCCCAAAGGAAATTAAAATAATAGAGACTTAAAAAAATGATAAAAATATCCTGCTGCGGCATATTCTCGCATATTTTGACTAAACCCAAAAACATATTAAGAGAGCAATATCTATATTTAACTTCTAGAGCCTTACTACTGAACAAAATATTTCAAGTTCATGGTACAAGTCTAGCCAAGTCATTCAAATTTTGCATCAGCAAAATGTTATACGAGGACTATAACCTGGTAGTAGATCTGATCTGAGGGAACGTCTAATAAGCAATGGTGGCTGAGGATACAAGCGTAAAGTCTCCACAACAATAAGCCTTAAGTACCTGAAAGCATGGAACATAACAAATTAGCAAGAGGCAGACATCTTCATTTCTTTTTTGGTTGGTGCGATGAAGAAGGTGGGGTAGACACATGCATGAAGCAAGCATGAATACCAAGTAAAACATCCCAACATTGTATATTATGTAGAAATCATGTCACAGTTGGGCTGCATAATGACTATTTAATACATATTGTAGGAACAAATCTGCATTTTATCAGAATGAGTGGAATCAAGGAGGCAATAAAGAAAAAGGGATAATTCAACTTGTCATTTGTTTGACTGATAGCAAATACATCTGAGACTAAAAAAAAACTGGTTGGCATGTTTAGCCAGCATTGAAATATAACATAACCTAAAATATTTCAAGCTCCGTCTTCCTCATGGAAAGGACTTTGTCAAAACTGAAATTATTATAAATTGATGTATTAAAAAACCTATTACAATAATCTTGAGATGTTAACCTCCAAAAACATGGGAGATGTATCTTTGATCACTTGCGTACTTGGTTGACCGGATCTCAGTATGATGCAGGTCTAAAAAAGAGGAAGAAACAAGGCGAAAAGGAAAGAGAGAGGAGAGAGAGGACATTTTCATCACATAATATGATACTGTTAAATATCAAGATATGCCAAACATATAAATGAATATGCGGATATCAAACATGATATTTCTCTAGAATCATACCTTACCCCCACACCCACACCCACACCCACACACCCCCACCAAAAACAAAAAACAATTCTACAAGACCAACTTTCTCTTTTGGGCAATAAAATGAATCAATTTAAAGCAAATCAAGAAACATTTCTTAGTTTGATAAATCACGAGTATTGGTGACAGTTTAAGGGAAAAAAAAGTAACATGAGAAAATTACTTGGTGAAAGTTACGCATACTCTTATCATAATCTCATTACCCACAATCTATGAAGTCAACTTTGTCAAACCATTAAGATTTTTATATTTAATAATGCCTGTTTCTGCAGTGCTAAGTTTAATAAAAAATTTACAATGCATCTATTTGACAAATGCAACAGCTTATTGAGATTGGAAGCCATTTTCAAGCTTCACAGCAATGTATTATCTCATCATGAGCATACCCCCAAAAGTAACATGTATAAGCATATTTCAACGTGCAATGTATGCACATATATCACAAGCATACAGAAGTGAATTACAAATAAACCAATTATCTTCACTAATGAGCAAGTTCAGAGTTACTCTAGTTTTTTTAGGGAATCGAAGGTCGTTCTCTCATGACCAAGCACTGCATCAATCTCTGCTTGGGCTTTCTCCATCTTCAAGGGATGCTGCATAGCAGCAATTCTTCATATATTAGCTTGGTCGCACTTGTGCAAAGATTCATTCACAAAAGATAAACAAAGATGCAGATTGATCAACCACAATTCTCTGCTCTGAAATCAACAACAGTAAATCTGTATATGTTTTGTACGGAAACATACTTGTGCTAGCAGGAAAACTGCCCAAGTAAGGACAGCAGCCGTTGTTTCGTGGCCGGCAATAAGCATTGTCATCAGGTCATCTCTTAGCTGTGATATAAAATTGCAGAATATCATGAAAGAAAACAACAGGACAAAGCTAATTGAAATCCGAAGCATACATAATTATGATATGCATAAGGTGAATAGTTGGCTGAGGGCGGATCTCAATTGTCACACAGTGCAATTATTCCACTGTGTGAATGAACAATAGGCAGGTCTTATCAAGGCCATATCAGGTTTGTTTATATGATATACCCATTAACATCTATAGGATAAAACTGCAAAGTCAGTACCTGAACATTAAAGTTCAGTGTTGTTTAACACTTTGTTATTTAACCTCAAGTTCAGTGTTGTTCCCGTGCATGGAACATTAAAGTAATCCCTAGACAGAGCTATTCAAACAATGGTGCAGAAAAACTGATTCTGCGGGTGCAACTGGTTGACTATGGGGGGGGGTTCCTGGTTGACTGGCTCAAGGTTAGTTGACTAACTCTGATTGCAGTTGTACCCCTGTACTGAGTCTAAATCTCTACATAAATTCTCCATTCCTACTTATCAAATCAGCACCCTACAGTGTATGGGTAGTTTTGTTGGGTACATAAGAAGTCTCAAGTATGTTTAAGCAATTAATACCTGTTCTTGCATTGATAGCATGCTAATCAAGTTAATTTCATAATGCAACCTTTCATAAATATTGTGGAATGCAAGCTCTCATAAAGTTATCAATTTAATCACATATGTTACACAACAACAGATAGTGATTCGGCTAATTCCTGAGCCTCCATCGACTTTTTTGACTACCTTGGTTTGTCTACAATACCCCATTAAAGAGAAATTCACTAGATTTACCCAAAACCTATACAATATGAAACTTTTACAAGGTTTGCCACCAACCTACCTAATGAATACTTTGGAAGACCTACATTAGGGTTTCATGCAAGTTTTTCCTAAGCTACCTTGGCAACCTACCTAAAGTGCCCTTGCAAGGCACCCAACTAGGATTTGTTCTAGGTTTTATCCTTTGGCTCACCTAGAGAGCCAACTTCAAAGCACTCCTTCAAGATTTCTTGTAAGTTTTCTACTCAGGCTTACCTACAACCTAAATTTGCAACTCTTCATTATGAAATAAAATGCAAAAGATCTTATAGGCTCACCGGTCATCAAGCCTTCCTAAAGATGTGAAAATCTAAGTGGTGGTGTGGTAGTCAAAAGTTTCTAAAATTCATAAGATCGATATAACCTCCAATTACAGCCAACTGCTGCACTAAAATTTACTCTTACAAATTATAGAGCTTGTGGGAAATTTGATGTAGAGGAATGTTCAGAATTCACTCAAAAACTCCAGTAATCATTCAACATGTGTTTGCTAATGTTTGTTTGTGTGTGTGTGTGTGCGCGTGTGATTCAGGTCTCTCTCCCAGTCTCCTTCTCATCAATCCCTCACTGAAAAGTGGAATGAATTTCTACTAAGTGCAACTTAGGCTAGTAAGCGGTCAGATTTCTCAAAGCTAGATGGGGCAAGTTGATTAGCTATAGGGGCTACTCAAGTACACAGGTTGTAGTCAACCCCTCCATACCTGGTCAACAAGGGACCTGGTTGACTAGGCCCATTCCAGTTTGCATTTTTCATGTTTTAAACAGAAGACGTCTATCCGATGTATGCGGATTGTGCCTACCCCTATATTGCAGTCACCAAGACTCTAGACACTTGTCCATTACAGCTTGAAGTCTTCCGTTGAGATCCACTTCACACTGCTCAGTAGATCTTGATATTTGGTTAGGAAGTCTTCAAGTCTAGAGGCTTGCGTCCATCCTTCTTGAGATGTTTGCTACTAGCCTCATTACAGAGTTCTGATACAAATCATGAAATTGTCAATACTAAGGTCCAAGACAGACTAAAAACCTATTCTGGTATTCAGATAACAATATAGCACAAGACGTTATGGTGAACTACGATCAAGTTATTTTATGAAAAATGTCATTATTTAATAAGTACCTAAAGAAGGATTTCAGAAACTTACCTGACGATCATCAACATCGGCTCCCCTCATATCAACTAAAAAGCGCAGAAGACTCGCATCCTGCAAACTTTTACAGTTACAATGCCAAAGTTCACTTGTCCGGATTTCAAAAAGCTCCAAATTAGATTCACCCATCTTTTAGACTAGAAAACAAATGAAACATTGATTTTAAATTTAGAAGGATAACTACCTTAAGATTTAAATAGTCCCTTTGCTGCAGCTTCTCAACATCTGTTTCCTGCCATAGAATGAAATGAACATCAAACAAAGACACTGTATGCAAAGGCTTTTGGTTAGTTTGGAGACATGCCAAAAGTAGATGCAAAAAGCATGTGTTCCGGCTAGTATTATATCTGCAATCAGATTGTAAAAGAACCATAGGTTTACATACTTTTTAATTGTTGCTAATGATTAGATCATGTAGATACTGATCAGACTTACATTGCATGCCCAGATATCTTCAAATTTATCCAACATTATTAAACCCTTGTTATTTTGGATACTAATTTAATTGCAATTCGGATTTTTATGTTCTGACAAGGAAAATGAAGTCCATCTCTTAAAATTTGGAAATAGACTTTGACGCCCACATCTGTCCCTAGTGACTAAGAGAGAGCTATCCTCATAAAGCTAATTCTTTTGGAAGTTTCCATCATCAAGCACAAACAACTTATGTCCTATGCTTATCCACAGTTCCCAGAGTAAAGAATATGGTGGTGGTGGGTGCTCTTGGCCATTATCTCATTTTTCCTAATATTTGTATTGTCCAAGTATGATTAACACACTTATACAGCAGTTTCTTTTCATACATCTATGAACCTAAAACAATATCTTAAAAAAAAATTCTAAACTTCCTCATTTCCATAGACAAGATATCAAATACATTGCTTATTGCAAAAAACAACAATTAAACCTGCTTCAACAATTAAAGAGGCACCATTATTTAAGAAACGTGGTATGAGTTTAGAGTAGAAAACCAAACAAAACAAAACAGTAGATTCATATTTTTTTAAGTCTTCCCATCATTCAACTCTGATTCCTCTCACCAGCCTGGTCTCCTTTGCATTTTCAATGAGACCATCAAGACAATCATTGATAGTTTTAAGGTCATTCTGGAACTTTAGCTGCCTGGGGACCAGCCATCTTGCCAAAGGAACTTTCCAATAGGGAATGTAGAAAGTAGATCGATGCTCAGCTTCAAAAAGAGTACCATATACAGCCTACATGGTATATGCAGAATAACTGATCATTAATTTATCACTTGCAACTTAGATGATAAAAAGAGAGAAAAAACATTATATCCCTAAAATTTTCAAGAAAACAGCAAGAAGTCTGGAGATTTAGCCAAAAAATGTAAATTCAAGGCTATGCATCTCATACATTAGTGTCAACTTTTCTTGACTGTACATTGTGTTACCCAAAACCAATTGGCAATAGCCAATAGGTAAAGTGACTGCACAAGAATATAAGTCAACTATGGTGGTCCTAATTATTTGATGTGGGATACAACCTCTCTCAATGCCATCTCTAACATGAGATCCGAGCTCGCATGTGTGGTCAGCAAACAAACAAAAAACCATGCATATCGGGATTCGAATGAATAAGAGACTTGGCCCGCTGATCACAAGGACAAGCTTTGATACCATGTTAGAACATCCAACCCAAAACCAATTGGCAAAGGGTGGAGTAGCCCCTCAACTATATAAACCAAACTTGAAAGTCTTAATTATTAGATGTGGAATACAATCTCTCTTAACACATTGAACTTGGTTAGAGTTCTTATTTTATATTTTGAGTAATGAAAGGTAGGATTGTAATGTTCACAATATTAGTTTAGGATAAAATATAAATAAGGGGGTATTGGGCAACATAGCCTACACATAAATTATTCTAATCTTCTCTCATTCTTTTCATTTCTCTTTTATCTTCTCTCTTTATTCTAACATAGTATTGTAGTTTTTACTTCTTAACTTGGTATCAGAGAATCGACTTTTTTTTTTTGGAGGTTAATGAACAGTGAATTCGCGCGTGAATAGTGTTGCTAACGAACAATATCATGCATGAACAGTAACCAGTGAACAATAACCTCGTGAATAATGTCAATGAATAGTGACTTGTGAACATTACTATCAATGAATAGTAACCATTTTTTTTTTTTGCCGCTGATCCATTGGTGGTTTCTTTTGGGACAATATCAATAAACACTAAATAAGTTGGAAGGTACATTCCACAAGACAGTCATTAGACTAAAAAAAATTATGGTATAGAATGTTGGACAATTGAAAACAGCACGCTTAAAAAACATTTAATAGTAAAACCAATAAGGATAAAATTATGAATAAATATATATTGTAAAATTGTACAAAGAATGCCAATAGGAGATAGATTTAAAGAAAATCAACTTAGGCAGTTTATAGAAGACCTATTACTATACCAGTGAAAAAGAGAGATGAGATAAACTCCTGATAATGAGAAGACAAGAGATAAACTGAAATTAACTTGGAATGGGATAAGAAAATTCACATAATAACTCTTGGTTTATTAGAAAATATAGCAAGGATAGAGCATAATGGAGGAACATGCTATATATAGCAGACCCAAATAGTTGGGATCAACGATTTCAGGGCGTTACATGTTCATAAGGACGATCTATATTGGTTATTAACCTAATGGTGACGCAAGCCATAAGTAGGAAATAAGAGCAGCCAAGAGAAGTAAGACAAAGGAAATACTTGAAAGCATATACCCCAAGGAAAAATGTGAAACAAATGACAACAAGAAGAAAAACATCTACACGATGTGAACAAAAGTCATGGAAAAAGAAGATATAAATTAATATAGAGGACTTATTCTGAAGTGTAAATGAGAAAGTTAGTTAGACCAAGAAGCTCAATTTCTTGATAGGAAACGACAATATCATTGATAATGAAGGTTAAAAAAGGTACAAAAACCAATCAAAGGTGGACAAACTGTCCAAACCAAAGACAAATCAAAACAAAAAATACAACATCAATTACATTCCACACGATGCTGTCTAACTCGGATAATACAAAAAAGAGGAACATTCTTAAACTCCTTAGAAGTCGAGGCCCTAAAGGAGGTCAAAAAAATAAAGTTGATCCCATAATCTTCAAACTCCTCACATTTGTCTTAAAAATCCTCGCATTCCTTTCCGCTAAATTACCCAAATGGTAGCAGCAAATGCACAAAGCCAAGGAGTCTTCCACCTTCTATTCCCCATCCCCCCAAACCACCCATAACATCCAAATAAATCATAGATGACACAATTCTCGGTGCCGCCCAATAAAGATCCACAAAGTTGAACAATTTGTTTCATAATGAGAGTGTCACAACACAATGTAAGCATAAATGATCTATACTCTCACTATAACCTTTACACACAACACATCATTATGGGAGAAGACAAACCATAGGTCTCCTTCTTTAAAGCACATCGTAAGTGTTAATCTGACCTTGAACAATTATTCATGCACAAATTTGCACCTTTAAAGATACTCTAGCTTCCCAAATCACTCTCAATAGAGGGAACAATGGAAGAGAGGAATCCTTGATTAAATGAGAACACACTAATTGAGTCAATAGCCCAACATCTTTTATCCAAATAATTTTGGTCACAGAAACTACATTAAGTAGAGAAAGAAGGTCCACCAACTCTAAACATTCCCTATTATTGAGACTCTTACAAAACCAAAATCCCAAGACACCTTGTACAAATAGGACTGAATAAGAGAAACAATCCTATGGCGATGAAAGCTATAAACTCTATAAAGACAAGGAAAAATACTAGAAAAAAAATACTCCTAGACCTATATATCCTCCTAAAACAAACCCTTATTCCATCACCCACAATAAACTTAACCCTTTGAGAAAAGAAAAGTAACACCTACTAAATAAACTTCAATGGACTTTGAAAACTATCACATTCAACCCCAGTAGCATCCCACTCATTACTTTGTAACCCATATTAGGTCCAAATAGGCTAATAATGAAAATGCCACAGTGAGCCTTGTTCCGATGGGAACCTCCAAAGTCATTTTACAACCAAAGCTTCATTCCTTTTCAATAAGTTTCCACCAAAAGACCACCTTTAACATTAGATCTAGCCACAACCTCCTAGGAATTATCAAGTGAGTCTTCCTTCGAACGCCATTTCCTTCTCATAAAGCATCCCTCATCATCCCTTCTAGAAACATAATTACATGTACATTGCACAATGGTCATGGTAAAGAGTATTAGGTATTGTTTAATCTAAGACAACAGCTCCGTTGAAAAGCAAATAAAAAGTAATGTGGCAGAAAGAAGAAAAACTTAAGAAGAAAGAAACTTCAATAGTAACAGTAGAAGTACCACATCAACATGCAATTATATAGATGCGGCACCACAACAAAAATCTAAGAATGTGTATAATTTAATCATACTTTAATTATAGGGGATTCTTTGGTGACAGAACCAAAGTCATAGTTGAAAACACCAAGCCCAATAATATCAAGCGCCAAACTTGAAAACTCTGCTTCGAGATCCAACTCAACTGGTTTCTCTCCTCCCAAGCCTTTCCCTTCTAGAAGCTTCTCAAATTTCAGTATTGTTCTTTCAGAACAATCAACGAAGACTTTGACCATGGCTTCCAAGTATAAGGCATGGAACCCAGGAGCAATAACTGTGACCAATATGGCAATGAATCAAAATGTTGGTATTTAGAAAGAACAACAGCTCCAGCAGATAACAGCAACCAAAAAGGAACAGACAAATAGAATTTGTGGTTATTAACATCTCATTGTCACATGTATGTGCAGGCCAGCAAAAAAACTGTAGCCATAATTTTTGTCCATGAAAACCGATATCTAGCTTAGACATGAGATTTCAAATTTCAGCATCTTTAACCCTGTTGACATCTCTTTATTTCCTTCCTCTCCTCTATCAAGAACCTTCATCTATTCTAATAACAACAAAAAAGTAAAAAATTTGAACACCTTGTTTTTGACATTGTTAATTATTTTTTAAAGCAACAAATGTAAATGAAACTAAGGAGAGAAAGTAACATGATTACGGCAGGCATACAACATTTGGCAACAATTGAAGATTCTCATGTAATCAGAAGAAAATATCAGAAAGAACTAGAATTTTCTTTTGATGGAAGATAACGAGGAACACACAGAAATATGAGATAATTTAAAGAAATTGGGAGTAAAAGAATGACGATGAAAGAAGGAACAAAGTAGGAAAGGAAATGGAACTATGCGTAGAAGCCACAATTGAACCCTGACGGGGTGGTACCACCCTAACCCAAAGTTACATAACACTAATTATCAAAAATAAGAGATCATTCAAAAATCGCAAATAATTTTATTGGTGTGCCTATAAAGCTATAGGCAATACAAAGCCGATGAAAAAAATATTTACTTGCTCACCTCTTCTCCTCTGCTTCCAAGTGTTCAGGTCAGCAGGTATAAGTCCTTTTCCCATTATTGGTTCTAAGATGTCGGCAAGAACTCCCTATTTGAGAATGTGCTAATTTAGATCAATAAAATTTCAGTATATACCTATATCCAATAATAACGGCCATGATAAGTGATATAAGAATTTGTTTTCTTGAATATGGAACAAGAAAGTGCAATATTTACTAAAGATCCCAATATATCTGCATTAAACCAAAAAATGGAAATAGATGTGCTGGGGAACTTAGCCACTTTCAAGGGAGGATTCAATATCTTACATACTAAACAAGATATCTTAGCAAAGAGTTTTCTGTGCTTAAAGCACTGCAAAGATTCATATTTGTTAGCACACTTAGCAGCCTTAAGTGGAGGATTGAATAATGAAGTATCAAGCAACTTATCCGGGTGAAGAACATTGATGGTTTCGTGCCCACATCTCTAATGGTTTCATATTTTGTTCCCATAATCTAGTGAAAACGAGATAATTCATATGACATATACAGAAAAGAAAAATTATTGGTCAAGTATCCCATAGAAGACTCCCAATATCAGAAGTATTATCAGAATGGCTAGGAATGCATGCCTCTGGCCCCATTTGGTTACTTGACAATGAAAAAGGCTTGCAAACCTAAAAGGGTTATGCAGGTTGCAATATCTCTACAGAACCGTTTTTCATAGACTCTGTATGGTCATTATACTCTACAGCTTGCCAATCAGTATGAGAACACCTTCAGTTACAACCTTCTTGAAAGTAAAATTTCTAATATCGATCTGATCCTAAAGGATAGACAGACAAGCCCAAGCGGTATTTCTCATTCAGCCACCCCTGGGAAGACGGATAAGTCTTTTTTACTTCCAGTACATACCAATTTTCAGGAGAGATCCTGTGTCACATTCCCCCATGTTGTCATTCCAGCTGACATTTATAATGAGAAACTGACAATGAACCTCAAAAGCACCAAGCAAAAATGATAAAAGACATTCCTTATGATCATGTATATATATAACTTTGTTCCAAGGAAGAAGTATTTCAACTCTCACCAGCGTAAGCATTGCAATGTTGACTCTGCATCAGGAGATCTCATCACCATGAAACAATGCAAATGTCAATTAAGCCATATCAATGTCCTAGATAGAAAGTCCAACCTGATTGCCTTGGATCAGTCGTGACTTCTACTAAGGAGAAGGTATCCCAACCACAACAGTTAGAATGGGTTTTCATGAATACTACTACATATGATAACACTATCAAACTGGCGTACATTCCGACATGGTTCATATTTGGCAGTTCCAAGATGCATAATATATACAAAAAAGTGTGCATCATAATATAATACAGCCATAACCTCATAAGATACAAAGAAGAGGATAAAATGGACAGTGCAAGAACATGTTAAGGTAGGGAAAGAAAGCAAGCCCAAGTAAAAGATAATACCTTGTCATAAGAAAATGCATTTTCACGAAGAATATGCTTGGCGACTATAGGGTCCGACACAACAACAAATGCTTTTGGCCCAAAAGCAAGTTTATAAACTGGCCCATGCTGTCCAAACAAACCAAATAAAAAAAGAAAATTGGTGTTGTTGTATGTAAATGAAAAGTAACTTTTTAAAAGAAAAGTTTATGCATCAAAATTCATAACTATTTCCACTCCTTTTCACAAATACTCAGTTTGTAATAAAATTCCATTATATTTCAAATGTAATTATGTTTCATTTGTAACTGGATTTGATATAAATTACCAAATTGGATTTTTTTTTTTTTTAAATTCTTGTAACCACCAGTATAATCACTTAAAAATAGTGGTTTTGTTTCACCCTTCACACCATATTCTAATGCCATTCTCTTCTCTTTCAGTTTACCTTTATTATATTATAGCTTCTATGTCTTTTGGGTAAGTAAGGTGTGTGTGAACCTTCTATAGAGTGGATTTAGAAAAGCTACAGGAAGTGATTGGGTTACCGTAATCTTAGGCAAGCAACGTGGTGGAAGGTATTGCACTAGAAATTCATCAGTAGGGACGCGAATCATTTTTAAAAAGAAAAACTATGACTTAGTTTGTGCCTCAACGCAAGCGATATAATGTATTGGGTATGCAATTCAATATATTCTTGAGGTGATATTCAAGTAAGTTGATATTGTTTAATTTGATTTATGATGCATAAATAATTTTTGCCTATAAGATATATATATATTTTTTGATTTATTTCCCACAATTTTAAGACGGTTCAAGTATTTACTTGGTTCAGCCATTTCAAAACAAAATTTTGATCCTTGGGAATCATTGTCCTCTGCTATATCCCCTCCACTTATTTATAACATCTAGTTTTCTATCAAAAGAAAATTATACACGTGTACTAATATCATTCTACATTTCATGTATCAAACAAAACTCTTGCTTTGACTAATTGATATGACTGATGTCATGGACGTGAATGCTTTTGCTTAATTTTCTAAAGTGTTGTTGGATGACTAAAAACTACAACTTGCACTACTAATCATAAGTTTCAGCACTATTGTCAGTTGCACTATAACTGCTACGTTTATAGTATAATAGCACTTATGCTCCCAATGTGCACTTATTTTTGGACTTTATTGCTTTGGTGTCCTACCTAGTGTGACTATCACTGTCATGGCTGACATGTGATATTATTTTATTGTTAGCTTGTTGAATGGCTCCAACAAAAATAAATATTACAATTTGTGTAAATTTCATTACTATTTNTAATATAATACAGCCATAACCTCATAAGATACAAAGAAGAGGATAAAATGGACAGTGCAAGAACATGTTAAGGTAGGGAAAGAAAGCAAGCCCAAGTAAAAGATAATACCTTGTCATAAGAAAATGCATTTTCACGAAGAATATGCTTGGCGACTATAGGGTCCGACACAACAACAAATGCTTTTGGCCCAAAAGCAAGTTTATAAACTGGCCCATGCTGTCCAAACAAACCAAATAAAAAAAGAAAATTGGTGTTGTTGTATGTAAATGAAAAGTAACTTTTTAAAAGAAAAGTTTATGCATCAAAATTCATAACTATTTCCACTCCTTTTCACAAATACTCAGTTTGTAATAAAATTCCATTATATTTCAAATGTAATTATGTTTCATTTGTAACTGGATTTGATATAAATTACCAAATTGGATTTTTTTTTTTTTTAAATTCTTGTAACCACCAGTATAATCACTTAAAAATAGTGGTTTTGTTTCACCCTTCACACCATATTCTAATGCCATTCTCTTCTCTTTCAGTTTACCTTTATTATATTATAGCTTCTATGTCTTTTGGGTAAGTAAGGTGTGTGTGAACCTTCTATAGAGTGGATTTAGAAAAGCTACAGGAAGTGATTGGGTTACCGTAATCTTAGGCAAGCAACGTGGTGGAAGGTATTGCACTAGAAATTCATCAGTAGGGACGCGAATCATTTTTAAAAAGAAAAACTATGACTTAGTTTGTGCCTCAACGCAAGCGATATAATGTATTGGGTATGCAATTCAATATATTCTTGAGGTGATATTCAAGTAAGTTGATATTGTTTAATTTGATTTATGATGCATAAATAATTTTTGCCTATAAGATATATATATATTTTTTGATTTATTTCCCACAATTTTAAGACGGTTCAAGTATTTACTTGGTTCAGCCATTTCAAAACAAAATTTTGATCCTTGGGAATCATTGTCCTCTGCTATATCCCCTCCACTTATTTATAACATCTAGTTTTCTATCAAAAGAAAATTATACACGTGTACTAATATCATTCTACATTTCATGTATCAAACAAAACTCTTGCTTTGACTAATTGATATGACTGATGTCATGGACGTGAATGCTTTTGCTTAATTTTCTAAAGTGTTGTTGGATGACTAAAAACTACAACTTGCACTACTAATCATAAGTTTCAGCACTATTGTCAGTTGCACTATAACTGCTACGTTTATAGTATAATAGCACTTATGCTCCCAATGTGCACTTATTTTTGGACTTTATTGCTTTGGTGTCCTACCTAGTGTGACTATCACTGTCATGGCTGACATGTGATATTATTTTATTGTTAGCTTGTTGAATGGCTCCAACAAAAATAAATATTACAATTTGTGTAAATTTCATTACTATTTTTCTGTCATTACGTGTGGCTTCCTCTAATCCTCATTTATGTTGATTCCCAATATTTATTTTGAGCATGTAATTTTGTGGGAGTATGTTTGGAAAAATAACAATGTATTATGTGCTTTGAGAAGAAATTCTAGTAATAGACCTAATGACAAAAAAAACTTTAAATTTTCGCTTAAATGTCATTTTAGATGTTCGATTTGGGGAAGAAAAAAAAAAGCTTGAGATGCTCTAAATTCAAGTGATCCCATGACGCTTGTGGAGGATGAGAATGATTTCAAAATCTTGAAGAGCCCTATGGTAGCCTCGTGGATGGATGTTTTGGTCACAAGAGCATTCTTAATGGACTCACTTATACGAGTGTGGATGTGGGGCAGCTTCCTATGAGAATTGGGTTGATTCTCTTGACACTCATGAAAAATGGGATAAAGCACAAGGCCGCAATGTGATTATGCATGCCCTCACGTAGTCTAAGCTTAAAGGCTTAGTCCACTTCCACTCTTCTAAGGCAATTGTAAAACACTAAGTGAAAGGTGTAAAGGCACTGCCACTTCCGTTTTGCACGATATTCTCATTTTGTCAAGACAGTACACTTTTAGTGCAATATTGTTGGTGTATAATAAAAAAGAAATTTAATAATATCTAATGTATCAAATTCTATATATATGTCCACTTATTTTAATAAAGAATTTTGAGGTTTAAGTAAAATTTCCCTTATGCATTGAAACAAATCATGTTTCATCTGTAATGGATTTTTTACATTAAAACAAAGAATTTAACTTCTCTCATAAACCCTAAGCTAGTTCATGCATAAATAGTGGTAATGTGTAGCTTTTTACAACGACTCGAGAGCTATTCTCTTTAATTTAAGTAACCCTTTGTATTATAGCTTTTACATTTTCTGGGCAAAGTAAGGTATGTGATGCTTTTGCTTCTAAATTTGTGAAGATTTAAAGAAGATACATCCAACAATCAAAAATTCGTTTCAGTGCATGACTTTGCTTAGCTTGCACGCAAAAACATTTTGCTGGCAGAATTGGCTGTTGATTACTTTCCAAGTCCAATGAAATATTTTCAAAACAAAATGGAAACTAATAAAATTATTGCAATTTGAATGTCAAAACATTTTAACCCAAACATTCTGAAAATTTACAAAACATGGGAACTTTGGTTTGCATCATTAGTTCATCTAGGTTTCTACAGAACAGATATGCTTGGACATTTTAGAGAAATATATTTCGTGTATCTATCTCTTGTCTATCTACCATTGATTCTATCTATGAATCAAGTCAAAAGACTTTGTTTTTGAGTTCCCAAAAACCCCAAATGGATTGGGTTGTCAGTGGATATTGAATGAAATTTTGATACTTAGTTGCAACAAGTGATTAGGTGGCTGTATTCTAAAGGGAGCATGCTATAACCTACTGCATTAGAAATCCATCTATAGAGGCATGAACCATCTTAAAGAGAGTAGTGACCCAGCCTATGCCTCAATGCATGCCATACACTCTCGGCTATGCAATCTACTATATTTTTGAAGCGATATTGACATAAGTTTATTTGTTTAATTTGTGACACGTTAATAATTTTTATCTAAAATATTCATATAACTTTTGGACTTAAGTTTCAACAATTGGAAACAAGAGACAAACTACCAAATCCAATTATGAAATAGGCAAGCAGGAGGTACCTCTAAGAACCAATCATATAGTGAGAAGAAGAGAGGGCGGCCAAAAAGGTCAGAAACTGCACCTTCAGCGACAGGCATTGATCCCAGACTTCCACCACTCAACAAATTAGTTAGCAGGTTGCTTGCATTGTCCAGCAAATTCCTTCTTGTTTCCGGTTGTTCGTCTGTACTTGTTGATTTGCATCTGCAAGCAACCAGTGCTATTAAAAGGTGATAACCTAGTTTAGTCTTGTCTGATTATAATTCACATATGCAATTTCTAATACAATATAGAATTCCAACACACATACACCCCAATAAATGGTCAAATTCCAACAAAAAAAAAGGTTAGAATGATCTCAAATACTCCATTTTTTGGGGTAACTCGATCTGAAATAATTGTAGTTTGACTACAAAATTTATAAATCTTGATCCACAAAGCCATAAAACATTATTTTTAGAGTCGGTTACATGCATTTTGTTCTAACATTGTGTCATAATTTTCAGTATGATACCAAAAAATAACGTTACCCCACGATTTAACAAGCTTATTCATCGTCTTTGGGTACCCCCAAGAACACACTGATATGAGTGGAATTCAGAAGAGAGAGAAAGCTGAATACCTGATTGGAGACCATTTGGGCTTAGAATTGGAGGTGTGAGCAACAGAAGAGGAAAAGTAGCTGTATTTATGCCTTGAGACGCCCGGTGAGGAGAATCCATTTGCTCTACAACGCCCATCAAAGACATGTTGAAATAGATTTGGGAAATGAAGAGTACAACTGGTAAAAGAAGCCATGCCCAATTCAACTGCACAATGCCCTCTCCCTCTCCCTCTCCCTCTCTCACTCCAATCTTATTTATGCATGGAGAGAGTGGATATCTTTTGTAATCCATAACACTACCTTTTTTGTTTTTTTTAATAATGCCATAAAAGAATAAAAATAAAACAAACATTTAAAATGAATTTCTTCGCTTTCTTCCAAACCAACGCAATGCTCAAGCCCAAAACGGACATTTCACAGTTTTGCTCCACCTTCAAAAAGGTTACATTGCTGAGTGGAGAGGCAACGCACCCAAATTAGTGGTTTCCACACATTTGAAAGTGTGATGATATTTTAATTGACTCTACAATAGTATAATATTAGCTGGAACCTACTAATATCTGAGGGTAGAATGGTAAATTCCTCCACAAAGAGTTTTTGAATTGTGGCTAATTAATGAAATGTTGTAGCGTATAAAGATAGAATTGGTAATTGAATTGAGTTTTCGCGAGCTCGTTTAGATAAAATTGTTCAAAATCGAATCGTATGAGAAACGAGTTAAGTTTGAACAAAATCAAACCCGAGTCCTAGTCTAAGTAGATCGACTATCTATAATATAAAATATGACGTATTTCAATAAATTCATTCAACGGTCTCAAATAAACTCATCTAATAGTCACCAACATTCTTCTCAAAACTATTTTATGTTGTATAGTGTCTTCAGGCACGAGTTACTCCTAATATAATATAAAACATAGAAAACTTTAATAAGCTCATGCAACGGTTTCAAATAGAGTCATCCAACGGCTACACATTTTTCTCTCAAAATCATTCATTTTGAATTTTTCCCCCGCAAAAAAAAATTATCACTTCTCACTTACGTTGCACCATGCCTTCAGGCACGGATTATCCATAATTTAATATATAAATGAGCTGAGCTTGTGTTACTATTTAAAATAGTGAAATTTTTCATTTTTCATTTTTCATTTTGAGTATTAAGGAAAACAATCTCATTCGTGTCACTATAGTAACACTAATGTTAAAAAAAATTTGTAATCTGATTTTGACTTAATAGTCCAATGATTTATTCATACATTAAACTACCATATATAACTATCAGAATATATAACTCTCATACAAAAATTGCGTTAATTATCATAATATTTAATAAATAGTTTTCATATATAACACAATCAAGGTGACTTTTGATAACTAGACAAAATTAACACCATTAAAGGTAATTTTAAAATTTTAAAAATAAGTGGACTTAAATACTTACATATAAATTTAAACATAGACTTACTCTCAAATAAGTTTCATTTCAGAACTCAAGTCATTATAAGTTCGTCTAGGAGACTCTCACCTTTAATTTTTACTTTTTTTAACTAATTTAAAAAATTATTCAAGCTTGATTCATTTATAAAACGAGTTGAGCCCGTATAGCTTCACTTGATATAAGGTCACAAATGGGTTGGACCACATGTCAATGGACTGGACCCAAGTTCAGGGTGGACCTTTGGGTTGTTTATTGATCAATGCATTCGACGGACGCGGACCCAGTCCAAGATAAAAAAATTTGGTCCATGGTAGATATTGATAGGCCTTTTAGCGGGTTAGCTAGTGGTACGATCTTGGTGGGCCTTAAACCAGCTAAAATGAGGCCTTTTATTTAATTTTCTAAACTAAATATTTACTTTTTTTAAAAAAAATCACTTCATTAATTCTAATAAATAGTTACATTGATGGACTACAATAGATTGCATCATTCTTAAGACACCTAAATATTTGGTCATAATTAGTAAGTATCACATTAGCTTTTACATCATTCACCCCTCAATTTAATCTTTTTTTGTTTTTAGCCAATCTAAAGTTTATTAAAAGGAAAACAAAAATTATTAGAAAAAAAAAATGAATGATGGATATCATAAGAGAGTAAGGCTGATAATTGAGCTGAATTACTTAAGTTTGACTCGGATAGGATTCGATTCGAGTTCAGATAGTATTCTAAATGAATCGAGTTTGAGCAATTTTTTAAAATCGTTTATATGTAAAATAGTTTAGTTACTCGAATTCAGTTTAAGTATAGCTTGTTTTGGGCTTAATTTTATTTTTTAGATGAGTCAAATTTGAACGATATTTTAAATTAATTTTAAAAATAAAACTCGGCTCAAATTTTTACAACTCAGCTTAATTATTACCCCTTGTTTGGTATGAAGAAAAATTGGATGAATCAAAAAAATAGGATGGAAAATAGAGAGAATAGAAAGAGTTTCCCTTATTTTGTATAAGAGGAAAAATGAATGGAATGAAAAAATTAGTAGAAAGCTAGTCCTTCCCGCCCACCATCTATTTTTCGTCCAAAAGTGGGTAGAAAGTGGACAGAAGAGTGGGAAAGCTGGTATGAGGTTTGATTAATTACTTTTATGCCCTTCATTGGATAAAACTCTACACCAGTGAGTTTTCTTATAGCATCCCACATAGGCCGCATGGCTAATTTATGTAATAGATAAATATTTTTATTATTTTGTCTTTGTCCTTTTTTTGACTTTTTACTATAACAAACAAATTATATTTTAGACAAATTAATCTTTTTATACTTGTAAACTGTCATAATTTCAATTCAAAATTTACACATTTATCAAGAAATATTTTTAAATATCTTATCAAATATATATATATATATATATATATAATGAAATATAATACAATTTAAATTTCAAAAATAAATAAAATGACTTTTGTTTTTCGTGATTGAGATATCTTTAAATTTTATTTTAAAATTAATCTGACGGTTAATATTAATACTCAAATTTAACAGAGAAAATGGACCTCTAAGAATGTGTTTGAAACAACTTTTTAAAAGTGTTTATAGAACTTATAATTTTGCATAAGTATAAAAATAAAAATAGTGTTTGAAACTGTACCGCCACCACCACTATCCTCACTGTCCCACCACCACCACCGTCACTATCACCACTCTCATCGCTCTATCATTATCGCCTCTTCCACAACAGCCACTACCATTATCGCCGTCATTACCACCACCATCCCCACCACCCACCACCATCATCATTGTCACCCGCGGTTGCCACCATTACAAACGGGTGTCGTCACTTATTACAACCATCACCATCACTACTGTCAATCACTGCTTGTCCTACTACAACTGGTGCTTAAATTTAATTCTCTATTTTATATTTTTATAATTTGATTTTAGGCGTGAACACAAATATATTTATTGTAGACCAATTTTTTTATTATTTCATGTCTTCAAGCACAAAAAATAATTAATATATATATTTTTTGCTATTATTTTTGGTATGCATATTTTTATTTATTTATTTTTATAACTAACTAAAGCAAAATTGAACATTTAAAAATCTTTAAAAAATTATTTACCATAAAAAATAAATTTTATTTGTATGAGTATAATGGTAAATTAAGTCCATTTATATCTTCTTTTTTTTCACTTTTTCTCTAATACCAAATAATAAAAAATTAATTCTCTCAAATTTCATCCATAGCACTAAACACACACAAAAAAAAAAAAAAAAAAA